CGGGCGCGGGGGCGGCGGCGGCCGGGGCCCTGGGCCGCGCTGCAGCCCAGCAGCCGATGCCCGCGTGTTCCCGCAGAGCCCCAGCGGACGGAGGAGCCCGCGCAGAGCACGGGTCTTTTCGAGGCAGCTAATCGGGAGTTCGAAAGCACGGAGGTAAGCGTCCAGGACCGGCACCGGGAGCAGCGCTGTTGCCGCAGCTGCTTCTGCACGCCGCAGTGCCGCTGAGAGCCAGCTGCTCGGAGCGGCCCTTCCTGGTTGTCACGAAATGGCACAAGAGTAACTTATAATTAACTTCTCAACGGGCTTTGCACCGTGACACCCCTTCTGGTAGGGCTGAGCGGGAGCTTCGTGTGAGCCGTGAAACACGTGGCTCGTGATGCCTCGCTGCGGCGTGTCTTCTTAGTTTGATTCCCTGCCCGAGTTCACTTGAGGAAGGTGATGTGACAGTGTTGTCATGTTCAAAGCTGTATTGGCAAATGGAACTCATCCTTTCACCTGAGGCATAAAATGTTCCTGCAGTTGCATTAACGCTTACTTTTGCCTTTTAGGCTTAGTTTTTTCAAATTCTCCTTTATATTTCATGCTTTTCTGTGATCTTGTATATTCTCGTTAACACATACGGCTTCACTTCAGTCACTGAATTTTACTATGCGTAGTAATTTCTCAGTTTTTTATATACCATAGAGTGACGGTGGAAGGTGTTTGGGTAGCAGTGATAAAAGAAGCTTGCCAGAAAATACCATGTCTAATCAATGACTCCTCTTCCTTTTAGTCAGGAAGTGACACTTCGGACATTTCAGAAGAACTTTCTACACAAGATGGAGAGAGAAGGCCACCAGGAGAAACAGCATCTGGTTTGAAAACTGGACCGGAGGACTCTGCTCTCCCTGACACTCAATTACAAAGGGAAGAACGACCAACAAGCACTTGCTCTTCTTCCAGCGCGGTGGGAGAGGTAGTAAAAACTATGCAGTACTTCATGGAGAAGTTCGGCATGGACCTGTTCACTGTTACACAGGCCTTTCTGAAAAACACTGGGGAAGTAGAGGCTACTTTATACTTTCTGCAGACAGGGCAGCGCTTGGATGGGTACCCTGTATGGAGCAGAGAGGATGATCTGGAATTGCAAAAAGATGATGAACGTGTCAGAAATAAATTGATAGCAAAATTTGGAGCTGAAAATGTAGCAAAGCGTGTAGCATTTAGGAAAAGTTAGACAGCCAAGCAGAGGGGAATGGCTAATTTAGGACTGTGGCAGGAACTTAAAAAACCAAAGTCATTTCAGAAATGCAAATGTAATGGAAAATTTGATGCAACATTTCGAAGTTTCAGAAATGCTTTAAAATAATTTTTTTATAAAAGGCCTATTTTGTATTTGATTTTTATTTGCAATACTGAGTACATTAAACATTTAAAAGTAGAAAATGAAGATAAACGTTGTATATAGTATCAAGTTTTCACTGAAAATTTCCTTTAAAGTGTGTATCTATTATATAAACCAGCTGACAGTCATACCTGTACATTGCTGCATGCAAAGGATTTTGAATAGGGTTGGAACCAAAATCTGACAGAATCACATTAAGTGCTCTAACCTGTAATGAATGCATTATTAGTGCACAATAGCAGCCTATTCTCTGTCATCTGTCTTACTTCACACTGTTTGAATGATTATTTAATAACCTCCTTTGCCAGTTGTTATTACCTTTTTGTTGTTGTTGTTGTTAGTGAACCATTTGGAAATGATAACAATGAAAATATAACAGTTCAAGAAGAGGGATCAAGAACATTCATGCCAGAAGATGAGGCACTTGGTCTCACACATGAATGCTGAGGTGTCTCAGAGTGGCCATGTGTACTGGGAAAGGCCAAAACAGGTCACTGTGACACTATAATATTCAATTTCATGTTAGAGAGATCTGTCAGTTAAAACCTCAGGCTGGTAGACAGTGATCTCAATTTTTATTACCACTTCCAGTACATGTTCTCCAGTGCTAATATTGCAGGGTTTGTTTAATAACATTAACTTTACCATCTTGCTTCATGATTTCAAAAACAATGAATCGCTCTGCCCCAGCTTGCATCTTTACAGATTGAAGAGTCACAGCTTCTTTAATCCTGGCAAAGTAACACTTGTACCAGACAATATAGTCTAGGTAGAAAAAGTAGACCAGCTTTCAGGGCCACGTGCAATAGTTGACATAGGAGATACGAGTTAAGAAAGAGTGCTCAGAGTTTATTTAGGTATCTATTGCCTAAGTCATGTTTGAGAGAGAGAGAACACCATTGCTAGTATACAGTCACAATCTGAAAAACTCAGTACTTTCAGCCTGAAATTGTGCTCTGGTCACTACTTTAATATTATTTTACATCAGTCCTGTAAATCTGGAATTCATTCATTTGGTGAAATAAAATGGGCTAGTAAAAGCAAAGACTGATTTTTTTTAAATTCTATTTTGGGGTTTTTGGTTATTGCACTGTGGCACTTAGAAAATTTAAGGTGAATTAGGAAATTGCCAATTTTAAGCCAAATTCAAGGTATATTGAAAGTCAGCGATAACTTCATATAATGAGACTGCTACTTCAGAAAAACACTGTCCTGAAACACCAGTTGATTATTTGGAGAGTTAACCAATGTAACCAAATAAATGCCAAAACTCTGTTTTAGACTATGCAGTGTTTCACTGGACAGGTCATTCCTGCTGAAAAAGTGAGAATTACTTGGTACATTCATGCTGCTCAGACTGGTTACTTGAGACTTGTGGTGAAGACCAGGCAAGCACTTAACGAGAGAGTGCAAGACAACATGGCAAATAAAGTAGTAAGTAGAAACTTTGCCAGCTGGATTTGAAATCTAAGGACTACTGATGATCGGGTTCAAGAACAGGAGACCCATCACCTCCTGCAGCCAAAAACACCTGTTCTATCTTGGGTGGTATACACGTCTCAGCAGCACAATAACCTCAGAATTCAATAGTCATCTTGTTTAACCAAAACTGCTCTAGAATTCAAAGTGAGAGGTAGATCACATTAAGTGGCTGCAACATAACAAGATCAGGAGTAAGGCTTATTACATCTTTATAATTCTAAGTGACACTTTAAGACTGAGTTTGTCTTTTTCATGGCAGTTAGTCAGACAGGCAGTGTGAACTTCTGAGTCTGCATACAGTATTTTTACCTTTGCAGAACCATACAAAGACATTGTCTAACACTGAAAACCTTTCCATATGCACTTGAGGCACTCAGTAGGCATAGGAACTAAGACACAAAGAGCACAGCTTACTCAAGGTTGCCCTCTTTCATCTGTTCTGAACTCCTGAAAGGCACTGCTTATCCACAGATACACTCTTACTTGTGCAGACACACATGGGTCTAGGTCTCTTCAGTCCACTTTCCCATTAACAGGACCTGGAGATGTCACTATATCATATGATTCTGCTTCAGGGCATTCTGGCTCTGCCTTCTCCTGCAGTAAAAAGGCTTGTTTTCTCTGCTTTGTCTTACCAAAGACACAGTTACATTCCTTCCAATATGCTGGAGACAGTTTGGCTTTCCATGTTTATGTAAGGTCCCTGTACTATCACAGAGTGTCAGAAACGCTCTTTTTGTAACAAGAAGGGAAAAAAAAAAAAGTATTTTAAGTCATCTGTGCTTGCATTAAGACAACTTTAAACTTTCAGGTAACCACACTGTGTGGCCTTGGTGCTTCCAGAAAAAATAAAAACTTACCTATTGTACTGAGGAAACATAGCTAAAGGAGTGTAACCATAAGGTTACTTTCCCTACTTTCCTCAGCAGAAACAGCACATAACAAAATCCTCATTAATTCTCTGGTAGAAGAAAACCCAACCAACCCAGCTGCTGTGAATGTCAGAAGAGCCTTCTTTCTACTGTTAGAGATTGCTACTCAGTTAAGGTGAATTCCCTTGTCACCCTTCAAACACACACAATAGGTAGAGGCTGGACACTGTTTCTTGCCTATACACCTTCAAACATGAACACAGTCACTATACCCCCTAATTTTAAAATTCAGCAGTATAGATTTCTCTTTTTAAGAAGATATTGCAACTTTTTTAATAACATGCAAATGAGGTCTAGTCCTCCAGGTAGACATTGTCACTTTTCTATAGTGGGCACCAAATGCCCTTCTGGCCGGTCTAATATGAGCACTCCTTACCAGAGCTACACTGGCATGAGGAGGGCAGCTGACTGACAAAGTAAACAGGGCCATGGGGCAAGGGGCTGCAGCCAGGGCAGATAGGGAAGAGGAGCACCAGAAGGAGGAGCAATGAACCAAGGACTGAGGGGGGTTGGTGAAGTGGGAAGGGGAACACAGCTTCCCATGGCCTTGAACACCCTGATCCTGCCTGGAGCCTCCTCAGATCACCTCCCATGCCCAGCCTTGCCTTGACCACCTTCTCCCAAGGATGCACATCCTCAGAATCAAGCCTCATCCCTTGTTGATGCTTGTGATCCTGCCTTAGGACAGCTGCCTTGCTGTCTGCAGGGTAGTGGAAATATTCCAGCTCTGGAGAAATATCTGAATGCACTGTTAAATAGGTGCATGTTAAAGGGACTCTGCAATTTACACATGAAAGAAGATGTTTAGAAGGAAGTATTTGTAGGCATTTCACTCCCCAAGTCTGGTAACAAGCTCTTCTCCTTACCTTATGTTCAGGTTTGAGCTACATATTCCCATTGGAGGTGGGAGAATGCCATCTCCAATGGAGTTGGTGGAGAATGGCATAGTCTATTGAACATAATTTTGTTGTGCTCTAAGACAGAAAATACTCTCAACAAATTATTCAACAGGGTAACTTCCTGTTCTCCTCTCGGCTTCAGTCCACTGCCATAAACCTCTCTTCCCAGTTCCAGTATTTATACCAATGGAATCTGTGTCCTTACCTTGTCGTTACAGTCTCAACCTTAGCATGAATTCTTCTCAGTCACACATGTGGACTGTGAGAACTCCCAGGGGAACAACTATTCTTCGTTTTGGAAGCTAGAAGACAGAATTATTTCAGCTGAAAAATAAATGGATACACGTAGTCCCAGAAATGGATCCCCATATGCAAACCCAGGAGTTTTTTATTTTCAACTATAGCTGGTTTATTCCGTTTGCCCATTATATAGTAAGTAAACACAAACATTTCCCCAACATTGCCACCAAGGCTGGATGCCCAAGCACAGGAATGGAGCAAAAGAAAAACTGGGCTTGAAAACTCAACCATTCTGAAAAAAGGATCTTTCTGGAAACCAATGTCTGGTCATCCTTGCATCTCTTCTGGCTTTACATATCCTGGGTGGCAGCACAACAAATAATGCTCTCTTTATTCAGCTTCCATTTACGTCTCCTCTTCCTTCGCAGTGCAATTGCTCGATGTGGTTTCACTAGTATTTAGCTGTGGTCTGTGAGGGGTTTAAGCTCTGCTATCTGGTCCCGCTCCTTTGGCATTCTGTTTGCTCCAAGCTACACATCCACTTTCACATAAACCATGGACTTAATTTGGAAAACAGACTTTCATTACTTCAGCCTGCATTGTGGCTGAGCCTCCAGGGGCCTCAGAGAGTGACCCTGTGCTGCCGAGAAAGCTCTCATGAGTGAGTTGGGGTTCCTGTGTTACCGGTCCTTGCATAGCACATCCATGCACACACTCTTACACACATATGCATGCACCTCTGTCCTCTTTTCCTCTAGCAAACAGTTCTGCACTCTGCAGCCTTCACAGAGTACATGCAGAGAGCAGCTTTTCTGCCTTCAGAATTTGTTACTCCTCTGAGTTCTGGCCAAACAAAAGATCCAGCGACATATTTTTTTGCTCTTCTTCGGACTGAACGAGCTGGTAGCCCAGCAAGTCCATCGCATCCTTGCACACATTTTGCACTTTTTCTATTTTTTGGAAAGGAAGGGTCTCCCTCCAGGCCTGGGATACTCTCAGTGCATCTCTGGACCCAATATCAAAGGCCTGTGCTCCTTGCCCCTTCCCATGGGTGATGTTATGCACCCACTTCTGAAGTTCTGGTGTGAAATGGAGTTCTGCAAACCTGTACATCTGAGCAGCTCTTGCTAGCGGGTCTCTGACAATGTCTTCATAGCGAACCAGCAGGTAGCGGTCTTTCAGGAAGCTGGGAATGGCCCGACTGCCTGCCTTATAAATCTCAACGTGGCTTTTGCAGATTACTTGCATTGTGTTGTAGGGCCCCATTTCTCCCTTCATCCTCTGGGACCCCACAACAATGTTACTGTCACGTTTCAGTTCTGCCATTGTATTC